GACAGGTTCAACCAAGAGACGGAGATAGTAAGACTCGATCTAGAATAGATGTATGGACCAATGATGCTCTATTTATGAAGATGCAAAGCGGAATGGCTCTCTCTGGTGACAGGGCTTGTGTTCGAACGTAGGGCAGGCCTGGAGGGCAGCGATGCGCAACGTTTGAGGTCACATAAAACAAGTGATGGCGACAGCCCTCATGAAGGAGCCTCAATGAATGGCTATAAAGACTTCCACTTCACCAGCATCGTAACAGAGTGCTAGCAGAATGCATGACAGATTGAAGGATACGGTAGAGTGAGTACGTTTGAGTTGTGAACCTTTAAGAGAGTCACTGACCAGGCTTTGGTGTATGTCCATGGCATGACCGTAACTGTAGGCAAATTCTGTTCTGCTGAACAGAGCTGAAAAAACTCCTTGTGTAGAACCACACTCATCTGACAAACTAGGGCTAGTGGATCATTGGTCGCGGGTGGCACTAATCTCCATGTGAAGTATGGAGGTACGAAGCAGTCAATCAAGTGAATTTTTTCCTGACAGCAACGCACCGATATTTAAGATAGTACTGTGTTCTGCTGCATGTTTCCTTTTCATGACGTGGCCATTTATGCTGAAAAAATTTATTCCCGTTATTCCAAATAATATCATTTTCTAACAATGCCTGTCTATAATTATACATGTGAAGAAAGATGTTTGAAACGTGCCGATTAAATTAAAAATTGTTTGCACCACTGCTGTTGCCTTATTATTTATGAAGAGGCTGAAAAAAATCAGATAAACGATCTTCGAATTTTAACTGCCGTCGCCATTCGCCGTTGACCGATCGATCACCAAGGCGCGGCGATCTACTTTGATCTTGAACATCAGGCAGGTGGCAGCATTCCATTCGATGACATAGTTTCTGCCCATAAGAACTAAGCGATCTTGGATTTATTCTTAAGCTGATCTTGTTCTGCAGTGCCACACCTAAACACACTATGAATCCTTCGACGTTTCATGCCTTGGTTACGGCGCTGGTGGTCGCGTTACTGCCTGACAAGGCATTCGTGGCATCCCCTGACTGTGCGCTCGAGACAAACACGGTGATGTTCGACTCGGCTGATCTGGCATGGAAAACGTCGTGTGCCATGCTGACACTAGCCGACTGCCTGTTCTTCCACGAATCAACGCAACAGTGTCCTTGCACTTGCCAGGTGCTGAGGGCAGAGGGCAGATTGCTGGTCAAGGACCTGCCGCGGGACTTCGCCATTGAATATTACAAGAAAATGTACCCTGTTTATGTTGGGTACCTCAAGGTATGTCAAACATAGCAAGTATATGATATATGGAGTTGAAGAAGCTTCATGACGACTCAGAAAAGAAAGAACGAAAATAACCCAGTTGATGTCTTCTGATAAAGTCTTAGGGCAG